CTGCCTACTGGAAAAATTAACATGTGTGCAAAATTTTAGGCTTCTATTTCAATTCGTTCGAAAGGTAGCGTGATTACAACAGACAGACAGACAGAGAGACAGGCGGACATCGCTAAATCGACTTAAAATTTTACGCTGATCAAGAATGAGGAGTTACAAACGGAACGACAAAGTAAATATACCCTCCATAGTATGGTGGAGGGTAAAAAAAAATCGGAAATAGCATCAAATTTTAGAATGAGTTTAGATTTGTTCGAATTGGTCACCTTTGGCACGAATTATGGCCTTCAAACGGCCAATGAAACCGTCACACGCTGTCCGAATGTTGCTCTGCAGTATTTTGGTCCATTCGCGTCGAAGCACTTGCTTGAGATAATCGACACTTTGGTATTTTTTAGTGACAACCTTGCTTTCCAAAATACTCCAGACACAATAGTCCAACGGATAGGTATCCGGAGATTTTGGTGGCCATTATGCGCTTGAAATGAAGCGCGGAACCTCATGTTGTAACCATTCTTGGGTGTTGCGTGCTGAGTTCTGTTGGAATTCCAAGGTCTGCGGTCAAATACATGCGGCTTTAATACACCCTCCAGAATATGTTAGCGATAATATTCGGCATTTATTCTGATGCCACGGTCGATTAATACGAGCGGAGAGCGACCATCGGTCATTGCGTTTGTAACACCTCGAAATATACATTTTAGACCCCACAAAATATATATATACTTGATCAGCATAAAATTCTAAGTCGATTTAGCAATGTCCGTCCGTCTATCCGTCTGTGGAAATCACTCTAGCTTCCGAATGAAATAAAATAACTTGATAAAAAATACCCAAATGTGTACTATGTCTGCAGGACGTTTGGTGTTGAAAATGGGCCATGTAGGTCCACGTCTTCGTATAGCCCCCATATAACGGTACCTCCTAATATGCGATATTTTGATGATTTTAGCGACATTATTTACTGGAAATGTTACAAATTTCGCATTTGAAGTTCGTAATGGATACTACAGCCTATGACAGAAAATTGTCTGCCCAGGTCCACGTCTTCGTATATAACGGTACCCCCGATATTCGGTATTTTGATGATTTTAGCACATTATTTACCGGAATTATTTCAATTATTGTAATAGCTTATGACAAAAGGTCCACGTCATCGTATAGACCCTAATATACGGCTACTTTCGGTATTTTTAAGATTTAAACAGAATTTTTAATGGATTTTATTTTTTTGAAAATTGCCAAATTTGTACCAAATGTATTCAAAGTTCGGCTCGGCCGAACTTACAACTTTTTTACTTGTTGGTATTCTCTTTAGATTGTGTATGTATACCTAAACACACATCAGCTGACCGACAGTTATATCCTCCCATATTAGAAGAATACAGGTAGTCGCATCAACACAGCTGCTGGGACAACGAACAATTAACAAATTTTGAAGGAAAAATTATTACATCAATGAAAATAAAAAAAAATTGTTAAAAATGCATATCAAAACAACCGCCGATTGGCGTCGTATAGGAAAACATATACAAATCTACTTATTTTTTAAGAAACGTTTAAAAATTTTTAACATATCAATGTTCCAAGCATTCTTGCATCTTCTACCATGTATCCTCCTAAAGGTGAGAATTTTTCTGAATGACCTAAGTCATCGGCTGACTTCTTTGCAAAATTATGGGGCGAAATTGAACTAAGTCAACCTAAAACTCCATTGATCGTTTACGATGACTTCAGCCATCACAAAAAGCTCTTGTCGTACTTACACCTTAAGGGTGAATCTAAACCAGGGGTGCTCAAAACCGTGTTCTAGAACATGAAGAGAAAAAAGAGATAATTTAAGAGAAAATTAAAATTCTGTTTTTCTTTATATTTTACGGTTCTATTTAATTGTTTTTAAACACGAATGTTTGCCAAAATCTATATATATAAATGAAAGTTGTGTTAGTTACTACGCTTATAACTTAAGAACCGCTGAACAGATTTTAATGATTCATACAAATTCGGAATTGTCTCTTATCCGAAAAGGATAATATCCAAAAAAATCGCGTAAAAATGTGATATGTTAACATTTTCATTTTGACTTTTGAAATGTACAATAGTAATGTTTTATTTTGCATGATTTTTTCCATTTTGACTTACTTTTTTCTAATGTACATTTGTAGTGTTTTTTATATTTTATTTTTGAATTCGAATATTAATACCAATTTATTTAATTGACTTGATTTCTTGAGAACTGAAATTGATAACGGGTTACATGGAAGTGTAGTACCGAATTATGTGGTGGCGAAACGGAATAGATGATACCGAAATAATTTAATGCGGTCACACCAAAGTTAAAAGAAAATTACTTTTTCAAAATCGTTAAAAAGAAACACGAAAAAGAGATCTCATTGCAACAATTCTCAAAACGGGAAAATATCGAAAAAAAATTCCAATGGAATTGAATTTTAAAATAAAAGTACATTCTATTGACAAACTTTGTAAGGATCTTTAAACAGTTGCTGTAAAAAATCAGCGAACAAGTTAAAGATTTTTTCAATTTGTTATTCTTCTTTTGTCAATTTTTTTCAATTTGTAATATCATATTGAATTCAGTGGATTTTTTGTGAACAAAATAAAGAATAATTTTTCACTATATACAATTTTTCACCAAAAAAATGAAATAAGTGCGAAATACGATGGTAACTGACATCTACCTTTCAACTCCAGGGCCTACATCGTGCTTCAGCTGGTAGATGCGCAGACATTTAAACAAACAAAAATGACCGAAAAAGACTAATGGGGCTTATTTCAAAGCGTGGCCCTACTTCTTTCATGTGACAATAATCCGTCCAATGAGAGCTCAAAATGCAAAAAATTTTGGGAGTACAATCAGTAAAATACCAAATATAAAGGGTGCAAAATAGTAGAGCGAATGGGACTTTTAGTAAGAAAAGGATTTCTATCCTTCCAAAAATTCTGCCTGAACATTTAAGATACCTTAAATCGCTTTAGCAGGTCATGATATCGATCATAAATAATCATCGTATGATTTAAGCCATTTTTGGAGTCTTCGCCATTTTCTTCTATTTTTGGCCCTTATTTGGCATCTTTGTTTCTAAGGGGAGTAGAGAACCTCTTCGCATAAAATTTTCGGAGTAGGGCCCATATTGGTCTTGACCACTAAAAAATTTTATTTATGCTACCCTGGGGTAAGGAACCATCGTACAGATAATTGCCACATAGAAATTTATTCATGTAAAGTCCCCACATTGGAGTATCCCCAAGTCCACTTTCACATCTAATGTGTGGTCAGAAAAGAAAAATTTGTATTCTATTGAATTTGTAACCCCCAAGAGAATATTGGTTGGGAACGTAGATTTGGGATATACATCTATATGAAATAAATTGTGAAAACATGAACAAATTACAAATATAAGAAAGTAGCACGGGACCGAATATTTGTTGAATCGTCATTAAATTATACTATGATGAAAAATATGGACTCCAACTTACAATTTAAATGGCAAATAAAATTAATTCCCATCTTACGGAAATGAATGTAAAATAGCTATATTTTTGATTTGGCCTCTATTTGTCATCTTGGATTATAAGGGGTGAAGAAAGTTTTCAATGTAGGCCGATGTTTCGCATTTTACCATATTTCAAAGGATTTGGCTAAAAATGAGTATTTGGGGATGAAAATCTTACACAAAAATGTCAACATATCTACAAATTTTAGGATTTTCTCCATGTAATAGTATCCCCTCAAGTCCACCTTTTGGCGGACAAACAGACCGACATGGTTATGGGGACTTATGAGGACTCTAATGCACAATCTGAGGTGCTAATGGGTTTAAACAATTAATTAACTTTGCCTATTCTTAAATCAATTAGCCCTCAATTATGAGGTGTACAAAGTACAGTAAATTCCAAATTACTGCTCATTTGACTAAAAATTAAAAACTAATCGACCAGTACGTGAACATTTATAACATTCATATATTTGAATAATCATGCTTTGACAAATATGCATAATAGACAAAAACTATGGGCCGGCAACGCGGACCGGGCCAGCTAGTAATTTATAAAACAAATGGATACAAAATATTTGTATAAATAATGACTTAACACTGTTTTGTTCTTGATTTAAATAAGCAAAGAGAAATTTGACTGAAAAGAGATATTTCTTTTTGAGCACCCCTGATCTAAACATACAAGATTAACCCACTGGATCTAATCAACCCATTGGGTTAATCTTGTGCTTGTCTGACAGACATTCCTGCAACCAGTCAACCAATAACCTTTAAGGGATCATTGCCTGCGGCGTGTTCACATTCCAGCATTGCAACAGCGGCGCTAAACTGAGTCATATAACAGCAAGCGTTTTACAACTTGGCCATCGTATTTTGTATTGTTGTTACAAATCATTGCTTCAACGTTTGCTGTGCGCACCGTTGTTAGCGCACAACGTAACGTAACATAAAATCCTGCAACAATGTTTACTCAACTTTTCAAATCAGTTTGAGTAATTGGGCACTGGGCATTGGATGTTGCATTTATGGTCCATCACAAATATCATGGCCCCGGTCCAAACGACTACATTTGGGGAGTAGTTGGTGATATTGCTCTGTTTTATGTGGTCAAAGGCAGTAAAAATTGCTCTGCGCGAACATAAAAATCTTCGTTTAACGACAACAACGACTAAGCATCAACATTGTTGCCAACATAACTCCACATAAGACGGCAGACTTAGAATGTTAATCACAACAAAACATCGTCCGAGCATCGTTAAAATTCGTTTAATGACCACATTCATGTCATATGCGAATCGGTGATGATTACTTTAGCTATTTTGACCCAGCGTCCACTGGCTGGTTCCATTGACCCCCCAGACAGTCAGACAGTATGCTGTCACTACACAACCACACCACACCACACTCCCCCCCCCACACTGCGCCACTAGAAATACTTACGGCACGCTCTAAACAAAAACCTACCAAATAAAAAATCGCATCTTTTTTGAAAGTAGAGAGTTTATTCAATTGCTACTTAAATGAGTTGATAAGAAGTCTGGGGAGAGAAATAGAGAGAGAGAAAGACTAAATTTAAATTCAATACGTAATTAGTTAAATTGTAATTGAAACATTTGTATTCTACTGTACATCATTGACGTGATTGCATCTAAGTCATATTAAGTAATTCGGGCGAATTTCCCATTGTTTCTATACCGCCTTTGCCGCCGCCATTTACATTATTGTCCGGTTCGATCAACGCTCTTGTCATTCGGGAACTAAAGTACAAGTCAGCGTGTGAGCTGTGTATTTACGATTAAGAGGGTCGGGGCGATCTGCAAAGAGGACAAGGCTGGGTGTTTGCGTTTGATGCCGCATGAAGAAAACTTTATGAGTTAAGTCTTGGAAAAACTTTGGTAAAGATATCGTTTATAAGCGTATGATTGCACATTGACAATTGCTTCTATTCGGGGTTCATAGCACCAGATTCCGCATTGCCGTAAGCACCCTTAAATCAGCGTTCATGCTTGACCAACTGCATAGGAACTCTAGGTTGTTGATTGGCCTCGGAACCAGATGCCGAAGAGTAAAAACTGGCCTCGGCGTCATTAGAATCGTCGTGTACATTTATTTCTTCATCGTCCGAATCGGAGTCATTAATTGAAACTGGCTTCGACGCTTGTTCGCTGGTCGCAGATAAGTGCTTTCCATTATCAGCGGCTGATAAAGAAGCAGCTACGGCATACTGACGGGCCAGGCCAAGGGCAAAGGCTGCGGCCGAAGGCGTGCTAACCAACGACCTGAAAGCACTGTGTTCTCCTCCCATGGAGAGAGTGGGGGATCCTGTAGCTATGGCTGCTGCCAATTGTTGGTGCGACTCACTGCCCAGCACCCCAAAGGACGTCGCCGGCATGGCCAAGTTTGGCGATTGGCCCTTAGCTAATTGTTGGTGCTGTTGGTGATAATGGTTGAGCAGTAAAGCGGCAGCTGCAGACTGCGGATCGCCGTGATGGGAATGCATATTGGACATGTGAGCTTGAAGTGAAGGCTGTGGCTGAACAGGCTGGCCAGCTTGATGACCTGGCAGCAAGGAAGGGTCCGAAGATGGGGGAGCTGAATGTGACTGTTGTGTTATGCTCGATGATTGGTCATTCGGGCAGGTCGAGGCGTTACTGTTTGTGCTGGGCGTAGGAGATGTCGATGTAGGATTGCTGCAAGTTTCAAGCGATTGTTGGGAATAGTGTGCGGTCGATGTGTTGCCAGTGGGACTTGACCGCCGTTTCAAGAGGTTCATGCGTTGATGCCGACGCCACTTTGCCCTTCTGTTCGAAAACCAAACCTATATAAGTGTGAAAGAAAAGAATTTGAAAATAAAAATGAAACAATAATGAACTGCTTAATTCCACCAAAACGGATATAAATTAAAATGGAATAAAAACTAAAACTTCAAGTCCTTGCTGATTTCACTCTATTGAAATAAATTGTATCCGCGTACTCGAAAAATTTGTACGAAATTTTACTTGAGGTTGTCTTTTTGAGGCTGAATTAAGGAATATTTTTTAACATTTTTATATAGAGAACGAAACAATTATACTGGAAAAATGTATTCAGAAAAGTTTTTTTTAAGTTCAAACAGATAGCCTTTTCAACACATTTTGTAGACACAGTTTTAAATTTCCCAGTCAAATTGAATGATTTTCCTAGAGGTTTCAACGATTTAGTCAGATTTTTTTTGGCTCCCTCGAAAGACTTTAACGGTTTATTATTGTAACTAGAGATATGACTTATAATTGTGTGGAAATAGAATCCACATGTGTGTTACTGAACAACTTTTTCAATATTTTTTTCTCCATCCTCAGAATAATTATTGTCAAAAAAACCTAATTTACTCAACTTTAGGGGAAAAGACAATATCGAGTACGCAGCTACCCTATACCCTTTAAAAATGCAAGTTACAGCTCGAAAAATGGAAATCCGTCCAAACATGCTTACTTGCAAACTGATTTTCGACAATACATTTTCTAGGCAGTGAAAATCAAAACTGCCTTTCCAGAAAAGTCATTTTTTCTCAACAGTTACACTTGCAAGTATTTATATATATATATATATATATATATATATATATATATATATATATATATATATATATATATATATTCTTCCCGCAAACATGTTACTGAGAACAATTTAAGGGAAAAGTACAAGTAACATGCAGATACCTTCATTTATAAATGCTGGAAAAAGCACTTTCATCAACACGGATGAAAAAAAGATTCACAAATCTTACAAATCCTTTATTTGAAAGTCATATATGATAATTTTATTGGAAATTTGAATACAGAAGCCTGACTTGTTCGAATAGGTTTTCATCATACAAGTTTTAGTTGAACAAGTTCGACGTTAAAATAACTTTATTTGTATGTAGGAATCGGATAATATTGGAAATTTTAAAACAATTTGTGAAATGTTAATAATGATTAATTTATACGACGGTATAATGTCGTAGGTCTGAAGATATGGACCAGACGCATTTGGGTAATACTTCCGTACAATGTACTTTACCATAGTGCGAAAGTCGAAGTTTGGAATTTTAGGTAGGTATGTTATCTGTAGTAGTAAAAAGGGGTGAGCCTATCAGGTTTTTCGGACTGATGTACTGTACTGATGTACTGTAAAGGCAGGTTAGTGCTTCTGTTTGCATTTTAATACTACAAACTTTTGTTGATAACAGGAAAAAAGTCGGGGTATCTGACTACAGATATAGTCTCCAGGATTATCTTACCTGTACTCTGGCCTCGCTTAGTGATGTACGACTGGATAGACGTTCTCTGGTGCTCACACATGGATAGTGACTTTTATCGAATTCCTTCTCCAACTCTTCAAGTTGTTCAGGCGTAAATGTGGTGCGGTTTCTTCGGAATTTCGGTTCGTCGTCATCGTCCAAATAATCTGAATCAATGTGACGGCTGTCGTCCGGCGACTCCAACGTATCGTGGCTGCCAGAACTGGGAGAAATTGCCCTACTTGTGCTGTTGACATTTATGACAGACGCAGAATGGCTTACAGGAGGCATCGTTGTTAAAGCAGGTCCTGCACTCATGGCCGGCGACCAAAAGTGTGGTGACGATCCACCCGTAGATGCCGCAGCTGCAGCAGCTGCTGGATGCCACGAGAAACCTCCATACGGATGAGGCGGGTACAGTCCATAGGCCGCAGTGCGAGCAAACTCATTTGCAACCCGTTCCGCTGCTCGATTTCTCAAAATTCGATTTATGGATGATACTGAGGGCGCTGTAGCATTGGTACAAACACCTGCAAAATTGCACAACAAGAACAAAACAGAAATCTATTACTAATAGCGCTTATTCAGGGTCAGCAATGGGCAGAAAAACAAAGGTTATTAGAAATATTAAGCCCCTGACGTCTGTCGTTAATTCACCCATGAATCGTTAAGGCGATCATTCCGATAATCTCAAATCTCATCAATGACGGCGTTTAACCACAAAGCCCGCTAAACATCACAGAAGATCTGCCGGCAAAGCAAATGCTCATGCGCTTACACACGCACACGCACACACATGCATGCATTTCATTTGCCCAGCCTTGTGGCCGATGTACTTTCTTGTGTGGTTGTGTGGATTTCGATTGAATGAAGCTTCCAACTAATCGACCGCGATCAATCACCATATCAAACGGACAAATAAGCAAGAAGGACGTATCAAAAAGATTACAAAGTCGGATAAGAAACATGAAATGTTTCCAAGTGTGTGGGAATATTTTATTTGACGTTTTGCTTCTATGCTCTTTTATGTCCACTGTCCACTTTCTGTCCGCTTTGTTTCGGCTTGACTTAAAGCTTGTCAGTGGAGTTGGAGTTGGGGTTTGAGGCAACTTACCTTCGGATATCAAACGTTCTCGTATTTCCCATGCAAATATCGTTGGATTCTCCCGTTTGTACTGTTCGATTTTGGACACCACTGTTGGAGTGGCCACTTTTGGCTTCGAGCCACCAATTAGGCCAGGTGGTCGCAAGGAACCTGTAAACAAAGCAAATTATGTATATCAATTTATCTCTTTTGCTCAATTAGATGTTTATTGTTTATCGTCTTCCGTTGGAACTGAAACACTGGACGAAATGTCCCCTGGCAAGAAAAAAAACCGCCGATGGGGTGTAATTGCAGGACGGCAAGGAAAGATTTTAAAAGATATTCTAAGTTTTATCCAATACATTTACTAACCGCTAAAATAGCTTCATCGAGATCTGCGATGCGAAATTGCAAATCGTTTAAGGTGCGTGATTTTAAAAGTACACTCTCAAAAACTCTTGCGATCGGTTGATGTCTTTATTAGAGTGGAGTGGAGAGAATCGACAAATAATACGGCTACTATCGAAATGGCTGTGTGTGCATACGGTTTTATTCGGCACAAATATCAAATACATGTACATATTTCAATCAAGGCATATACACTAGAGCCCCGACTTGCGTCGTTTCGAGTTGCGTCGCTTCTCAAAAACCAGAAAATTCGATTTGTGTCGTTGCAATTTCAAGTTGCGTCAGTCCGAGCTTTATTGTGGATTACTAGTTTTTGCAGTGCCTGTTATTTCTTTATAATAATTATAAAGATTTTTTGAAGTAAATGGAAGAAATAAAATGTATTCGTACTTGTTTTTTTTTTTTTTTTTTTCAAAAATATAAAATTTTTTTGCTTTGTTTTGAATATTTTCCCCAGTAAATGAAATTTCAGTGCATTTTGTATATGTATAGAAAAAGGTGATGCGTCGCGATTCTCCGATCCCCATTAACGACGCAATTCGGGGCTCTAGTGTATAAGGTCAGCTAAGAAGACTACTGTTGACAACAATTTGACAATAAACGTAGTAGAATTTCACTATTGTGATTTGACTCTCTTTGAGTCGAACATCGGTTAGATGTTTGTAGAACATTTTCACGTCAAAAAATCTTTTTGTGATGGTACTTATCTACCGGTTCCGGAAACGAAGCATGAAAATGCCATAAAAAATGGGGTTAGATAAATGCACTATTTCACAAAAAATCAAAGACATAGAATATAAGGATAGGTCAAGACAAATCATTAGGGACTCTTAGTTGTTATTTAATTGTTGGCTTAGGCACTTAAATGGCTATATCTTAGATATTGGAGGCATTGAATGGTATACCCAAAAATATCATCAGACAGACACTTGCAGTCATACTATGACTGATGTGACACTACCAAATGTCAAAGAGACATATCAAAATGCTATACTTCCAACACATTTTTTGCAGATTTTTAAAATTTAGAAGAACTCATATCCCCGGACAAGTTGTCAATAAAATAAAATTGCGAAAAACTTTCGTTTATTTTTGAACTGAGTATTGCATTGATTAGCCATAAATAGGGAAACGCATAAACAACGCGTAAACCTCAATTCTTTTTAAGGTAAAACTTTGAAACTGTTGTTAACCTCTATCACATAATGCTCTATATGCATACAAACATATTTGACTTTTTTTGAAACTGTATTTTCATTATCGTTTTTGTTATTATACCTTACAACACGATGTGTTGGGGGTATTATAAGTTTGATTGGGCCAAAAATTACGTAACACCTCGAAATATTGGTTTCCCACATAGAAAAGTATATATGGGTCTTCCTAGCTCGCCGAGCTGAGTCGATCCGTTCATGTCCATGTTAATTTGTAATCAAGCTACAGGTCGCAATTGTGAACCGATCCTCACGAAATTAAAAATGAAGGTGGGGTTAGAGTCAGAATAGAACCCTATTTTCCTGATTCCTGAGTCACAATTATGAACCAATCGGCGCTAAAAATTTATATGGAGTTAGAGTTTGGGACTGGGCAGAAACCTACCAATTTGAGCGGCCATTGGACAATAATTAGCGGGTAAATTAACCCTAACTTTTATGTTAGAAAATAGGAAAATTTCCACTAAACCGCGAATATTTTTAACCCCAGCCAAATCACAAATACATTAAAAGATCACTTCTGACCATTACAGTGATGCTAATAGCCAAGAAATCGGAAATATAGCAAAATAGGTACAATACATATGTAAAAGAATTGATCTTATTTATTCTGCTTATAAATCAAGAACCGCTGGGCCGATTTTCACAATTCACATCAATTCGGAATGGTCTCTTGCCAGAAAAGGACAAAATCTAAGAAAATCGCGGGATAATATACCAATAAAAAATGTATATCTTTCGTTTCATTTTTTTCCATTTTTGTCATATTTTTTTCGCATGCGATTTTTTCATTCAATTTGACTTACAATTCTGAATTTTAAATTTTCTAAATTTTTACACCCCCCAACACTACGTTTTGAGGGTATTATATGTATGTTGCAATTATTGTCCGATCCTCACGAAATTTTGCATGGGTGTAGGTCGGAATTTAAGCCTATTGTTCTTAGGATGTGCCTTTAAAGGTTTAAATGGATAAAAAATTTTAAATTTTTCTAATTTTGCACTCGTTCTATAGGCCACAATTGAAAACTAATCGACACGGAATTTCGCATCGGAAGAGAGTTGAGAACAGAGAAGAAGTCTAGCATTTTTGATGACCATTGGATTATATTTAGCTGTAAAATGGACCACAACTTTCGTGTGCAATTGTTTGGATACTTCGCAATACTACGGAGTGCGTAAATATTGGCCAACTTCTCCGGGTCAAAAACCTAAGGGTAACCTCTGGGCAGGGCTCTTTAGCATTATTTCAAAAACGAAATCTTCCAAAATGGATTTGCATATAAAGGGACTTCGAACATATTGTAGTGTTGTAGGGTATCACATGGTCGGCCCCGAACGACTATATCCTTTGCTTACTTGTTGTTTTTGTTTTTTGAACTACACAAAAGTTCTCTTCCATTGCAATTATTAAAAACATCAATTTATAAAAAAATCTACAAATATTTTAGCTGTTAAAGAAAAAGTGTTTGTCACATTTCAAGTGTTTTTTGGACTAGAGATTGTTTCTCTCTCAAATGTGTATGCTTTGTTTTAGGGGAAGCTATTCATTGACGTGGATTACAAGCACTTCCAAGCATTTCAAAATTCAACCATGGCCAAAAAATGGTATAGACGAAGAATTGCTCTCACTGAGTATGTTCGAATTGAGTTTGCCGAACGCGCTGCTCATTTTCGAGTGGCAATAAAGATTATTACTTATAATCGGAAACTATATCCTCCTTTTAATAAGTCTGAATATGTTGCTTGAATCACGAGCTATTGTAGAATTGTTCTTCGCTCCAAATTTGTCCCAACTACTAAAATTGCATTTCGCTGACATTCGGTTTGAAAATGCTATGAATAACTCATATTTTTCAGTGTACATATATTTTTTTAGGGGCGGACACGATCAGTGTTTACACTTCATCTTTTAAACCCTGGTATTAAGACCAGATACGTTTAAAGCAAACATTTTGATTAATGAACTGCAGGCATTTGCACCAGTCATTGTTGCGTATTGAAGTAACAATTTGTTCAAGTTGTTGCGCCGGCGCATATTTCGTCCATCAGTTTGTTCGCAATGTACACAAAGATTGATGCTTTCTTCTAGCCGCATTGTGTCGGCCAATATGTTGTGAGCTGCAGACCAGCACACTACTTGCCGACTCACTGAATGCCAACCTCAATTCGCCATGGATTGCTCCACGACAACAGCATGAGTGATTTTAAGGTGGACTACATAGATTATATATGTATGTTCTGTACTTTGCAGTGGATTTCATCGAGGGTGTTGCACTTAGATTAATTGTATTTTTCATTCATTTTTCGAATTTGGTTATTACATTTCAGAAGCCAATAGTGGTATAAACTGAACTCTGAGATATTCCAAAAAAATCACTATCAATTCTCTTGTATCACTCTGATGGAATCGCCCTATTTCCCTAGTGTCTACGGAATATGTATGTATGTAGCTACGTTGAACATGTGTACTGTGGCATATAAGTGAAAGATTTTAAGATTGGTGCTTTCCTTTTGGAATTCTTTTAACGGTAGTGTACAACGTACAATGGACAATTTACGAACGGCAGCCGCAATTGCGGCAACCCATTCCAGCCGCAGAAGCTGAACATGATGATTTAAGTTTGATAAATGATTGCGGTACGTGTTTCATTTCAAGTTCTTCGTCTGTACACGTAGATGTGTATGAATGAATGTAGATGCATACTTATGTAAAATGAATGTGCTTGTTTGGTACATCTTCACAGCGTGTAGAGTGTCTGCTCGTCAGCCGACTGCATAGCCGTCCCGACCAACTGGCAACCCCTTGGTTGTGTTGGAATAAATTTTCATGTTTGACAATTAAAATACACAAACTGTGTTTATTTTTCCTTTGGCACTTCCGTAGAGAAGACAAGATAATTTCTCGCTTCCTTTTTTATGAAATGACCAACATCGTGTGATAATTCATTTACTCAAGCCGGGCGAACGCCGCACCGCCTCATAAAGAGAGCCAATGTTTGGATTGGTCGCTTGAAAACAAAACCCGCAATTAAGATAATGAATGCAATTCGCTTGGCGTAAAGGTAAATACACGGCTCATGAATAAGTGTTTATTTTGTTTATTTCGGTGTGTTTGTTTGGTTATTTGACCGTGGATTGGTTAAATACAGGTTTGCTACGGGTATCGCCACTCAAATGGCAAAAAATTCATTTGATCCTGCAGAAACAATTACTCAAACAAATGAATAGCCAGCAGAAACTCCACATCGGAGTGCTTCTCGGAACATCACTTCGTCAATTGAGCAATTTCGATGAAGACACAAACGCACACAGATGTCAACACAAAAAGTGAGATCGTAAGCATAATTGTCCTAAAATGCCATAATAATTTGTAGGAAAAATAAATGTATATCTATGTATATAAAAGAAACGCTTATAACTCAAGAACGGCTTGATGGATTTTGACAGTTCATACAATTTCGGACTGGCATCTTGGTGCAATACGATGTTTAATGGCGATCTTTCATGTCTAAAATTGGGATCTAGCTTTCAACTCCAGGACCTACA